GGGCTCGAACCACCAACCTTTCGGTTAACAGCCGAACGCTGCTGGCCGATTGCGCCACAGAGACATGCCTGGTTGCCGCTTTCTGGCGTTTCCCACTTGCTGTTTGGAAAAGCCGGAGGCGTTGCCGGGCCCGTTAAACCAGACGCGGGGTGCCGGTATGTGTTTGCCGCGAGGTCTGCGGCGGTTGCGCTTCCTGCGTGCCCGGCTAGCTCAGTCGGTAGAGCATGAGACTCTTAATCTCAGGGTCGTGGGTTCGAGCCCCACGTTGGGCGATCTGAGGTTTTTGTTGGGGTACCAGGAGACCACAAGCGTTGGGGCGGCGCTGGCAGCAACAGCCCTGTGCTCCCCAATGCGTCTCGCGCTCTGTTGTTGGGGTACCAGGAGACCACAAGCGTTGGGGCTGCTGGCAGCAACAGCCCTGTGCTCCCCAATGCGTCTCGGCTCTGTTGGTGTGAGTTGCATAGCCACCGGCTAGTGTCCATCCCTTTGGGAATCTTCACAGAGTTTCGGTAGAATTCGCGCGCAATTGCGAGATAAGATGTAACGACAAAGTTTACGGTGGTTTCACAGACGTGTTAAAAAGCAAAACACACACGATTTGCGGTTCTGTGTTCTCCTTTTTGCAGAAGTAGACTTAAAATAGAAGAAGAAGAAGCTTGACACACACACACACACATATATATTATATATATATATATGTGTCTATACATCTATTTTTAGGTAATTATGACAAGCTAGGCCGCCATCTTGCCCCGACCAACGTCCGGAACCCAGCACAACCGCCTCCTCCTCTCTGTGCTTCCTGCTCAGGCTGGCGTCTAACAAAAGCCACATCGTTCCCTGGGTGGGCTCGAACCACCAACCTTTCGGTTAACAGCCGAACGCGCTGGCCAATGGCGCCACAGAGACATGCCTGGTTGCCGCTTTCTGGCGTTCCCACTTGCTGTTTGAAAAAGCCAGGCGCACGCTGTTGGGCCGTAAAACCAGACGCGGGGTGCCGGTATGTGTTTGCCGCGAGGTCTTGCGGCGGTTATGCGCTTCCTTGCGCGTCCCGCTAGCTCAGTTGGTAGAGCATGAGACTCTTAATCTCAGGGTCGTGGGTTCGAGCCCCACGTTGGGCGATCTGAGGTTTTTGTTGGGGTACCAGGAGACCACAAGCGTTGGGGCTGCTGGCAGCAACAGCCCTGTGCTCCCCAATGCGTCTCGCGCTCTGTTGTTGGGGTACCAGGAGACCACAAGCGTTGGGGCTGCTGGCAGCAACAGCCCTGTGCTCCCCAATGCGTCTCGCGCGCTCTGTTGGTGTGAGTTGCATAGCCAACCGGCTAGTGTCCATCCCTTTGGGAATCTTCACAGAGTTTCGGTAGAATTCCACCGCAATTGCGAGATAAGATGTAACGACAAAGTTTACGGTGGTTTCACAGACGTGTTAAAAAAGCAAAACACACACGATCTGCGGTTCTGTGTTCTCCTTTTTGCAGAAGTAGACTTAAAATAGAAGAAGAAGAAGCTTGACACACACACACACACACACATATATATATATATATATGTGTCTATACATCTATTTTTAGGTAATTATGACAAGCTAGGCCGCCATCTTGCCCCGACCAACGTCCGGAACCCAGCACAACCGCCTCCTCCTCTCTGTGCTTCCTGCTCAGGCTGGCGTCTAACAAAAGCCACATCGTCCCTGGGTGGGC